GGAGACTTGCGTCATTGTTCCGAGTGTTCCTGTGGACCTCAATATCAAGTTCCTTGACTTGATAGCGTGGAGCGCTGCCTAGTCTTAGGCTTGTATACAAGGTATGACCTTATCCTTGGTATTGCATGGTTAGAACACCATGAGCCATGGATCGATTGGAGGTCGAAGACCTTGGGCGCTACGCTTACGTCTCCTAGTGGAGCTTTGGTGGGTCATAAACCCACCTCTGATAGGAAACAGAGGCGCTATTGGCGCGGGCACTGGACCGGGACAGTTAATGTGCTGATATCTATGTATTCGAATTGTCGAACACAAACGGTGCTTATGACAGGAGACGCGATCATGGATCGCGTGCTAAACGTAGAGTGGCACGTAGCCAGCTGAGCGCTACTCAAGTATTGGAGCAGTCGCTGCATGCCAAAAGTGGCATGGTCGGCCAAGGGTCGAGGAACCAAGGGCAAGGCCTCTTGCAATGCACTTGGAGTGGAACGTAAACCAATGAGCACTCCTCATGTTATGAAGCAGTTGCTGCGTGCCAAGGAATAGCATTATCGAACGAGGTCCGAGAAATCAAGGACAAGGCCCTTGTGATTCGCTTGAAGTGGCACGTTATCCACTGGACGAAGACTGCGGAAAAGCAGCTCTTCGTTGGATTTTGTTAATAACATCAAGGCTCCGATGGAGCAGGTGGTAGGGACACTGGACGACACCGAGTGCGTGTTCTCACTGATTTCAATGAGTCGTAAAATCTCTACAAAGAGGAGACGGCATATCCGCATATCATCGGCAAGACGCAGGGCGACGGCCCTGAATCAGGATGTGTCAACTGTAGATTAAGCGCACAGCTATATATAAACCCTTGTTATCGGTATGACGGGGGAAAATGACGGCGACATTACCCTTGAGGTTATTCCGCGGTGGATTCTCTTCTTGATTCCTTCGAAGAATTGACGGTGCTTAAAAGGCAGGCGATTTAGCCGAGCTGGTTATTGTACGACCAAACGAGGAGATTAACTCGTCGTCGCTTCGGGATGAAGCTGTCCTGGTGGACACTAAGAGGGTGCTGAACGCATGAAGTGGATCATCGATCCTGAAGGATCCCTTGGATCCGAATTATCCTTTGGTAAAGGAATTCCGAGACGTCGTAATCAAAGACCCGCCGTAGGTCCTACTTCCAAACCGAGGTGTGCGTCATAAGAGTGACCTGGTTCCGGGAACCAAATACTGCGTAGCACGCCAAAGACCCCTGCCCAAGGATGAAGTGTGACGTCATTGACGCCTTTTTTCGTGCTAAACACAAGGAATGGTGCGTGAGAGTAAGTCTCCCCATTCCATACTCACATTTTTTGTCCGAAAGCCGAACGGCAAATCGTTCACCCTTATAATAACCTACACGATGCCATCATTCCTGATGCCCCAAGGGCTGTTAAATGCACCAGCAACATATAATCGTGTTGTAACGCAATTGTTTAGGCTTTATCGGGCATATGCACAAACACACTTTGACGAAATCTTCGATCACAGTCGTGCGGGGCACGGACGGGGACGGAAAGAATCGGAAAACGACATCGTCTTTTTCAGAGCGGTGTTCGAGAGCATGCGCATGTTTCAGCTATCTATCAATGCCGAGAAGTGCATACTCGGCGTGAGAGAAATTTTGTTTTTAGAGTGCTTTATGGGGAAGCGTGATCTTCAAACGGATCCCGCTAAGGTCAAGACCATTGTGCACTGGCCGGCTGCAAAGAACTAAAAGGACTTGTGCAAGTGGCTTGGCCTCGCCAACTACTTGAACACGTATAGCACAGATTTTACGGAAATGGTACAGCCTTTGTCTAATCTCCCTAGAAAGGACACAGAATGGTGGTGGGACACCTAGCATCCGGAGGCTTTTGAAAGGGTCAGAGACAACCTCCGTTATGCAATAATACTGGCGTTGACAGACCCCGATCGTCCTTTTAGTGTTGTCTGTGGCGCTTTGGAATTTGCTATCGGCTGTGCACTGCTGCAATCAGACACCGAGGGGTGAGATCGAGTGATCGCGTTCGAATCTCGTCAGCGTAAGGCTGCGAAGAGGAACTACCCCGTTGGAATTTCTTGCGATGAAGTATGCCCTTGTCAAGATTTAGGGTGCACCTGCTTGGCTCAAAGCCGTTTGTTTTCTTCACAGATCATGCGTCCTTTTCCACTGCGACTCAGTCGCTTCACCTCTCGCAGAGGATGGCCAGGTGGCTCTCATTCTTTGCAGAATATAACTTCGGGGTGACGTATAAGCCAGGAAAGTAGAATGCTTTGGCTTATGCGCTGTCACGCAGACTGGAATATGAGCTTGCTCATGTCACGACGGTGACGTCGTCAGTGACGGACTTGATCCGCGCCACATACGCGGATGATAGTAAGTGTGCGCTCGAATCTCAGCGCACAGCCCCCACCTTCTTCAAAAGCTTCACGGCTTTCGTTTCCTTTTAGTCAAAGTATCCAAGAGCTTCAACGGTCCCAACGTCCCACTCACTGTCATGTGGGCTTCGCACATTAAGTCCGATCACGAGGCTGATGAGTAGGCCGATGTAGGCCCTCGGGAGCAAGGGGTCTGAGAACTCGGACAAGTAATATTGTCGGCACGTTTGCGCAAACGCTTACACCGATATTCGTTGAATAACGCGTTGCTGTATTACAGAACCGATCCAACGGATACGCCACGAATTGTGGCTCCTCACGTTTAGGATTTAAAATACCATATCGTATATGAGGCCCACGACATTCCACTCAGTGTTCATCTCGGTCGTGAGAAGACGTACAGCTCGGTTAGTTGCCACTAATGGTGTCCTCGGCTGTACAAGTGGACGAGCACATATGTGCGCACCTGTGAGACGTGTCAGAGGGTGTGAAACCGTCTCTGAATACGGCGGCGCCGCTGTCCAGTTTACCGGTACCCTCCGGGTGCTGGCAGTCCATGAGTAGGGACTTTGTGTTTGGCCTGCCAAAAGACTCGGTGGGCAAGACGGGTGTGGTGGTTTTTGTGGACCGTTTGGGCAATCTGGCTCATCTTGCGGCAGTGCCGGACACCATCGACTGTGTGGGTAAAGCGACGCTGTTTGTCAATTGTGACTCCCGGATTCAATTGTCTCTGATAGAGAACTGCGCTTCATTGGGAAGTTTTGGTCTACAATCTTCAGGGTGCTGGGCACCAATTTGACTATGCCAAACGCGGACCATCCACAGATCGATGATCAAAGGGAGCGCGAGAATCGCGTCGTCGAAGACGTTCTTCGCAGCGTCTGCGCTGAGATGCCGAAGCGCTGGAGCGGTATGTTGACACTCGTAGAGTTTACTCTAAACAATACAGTGTATTCATCTACCAGCTATACGCTGTTCTACGTGAACGGGCTTATGAATCCTCGCGTCCCGCTGACACCGCCATACCATGGCTCAGGGCTTGTTGGATGAGGAATAGCTAAACGGCTAGCTGATGTCAGCTCCCTCACCGTGCGTAAAGAAGTCGGAGACTTCCTGACTTCCAGACTGAGTGTCTTACGACACATTTGCTTTGCTATGGCTGAAAGCCAAGACGAGCAGATAAAATATGCAGATGGAAGAAGCAGAAGAAATGGTGAATACTTTGAGGTCGGAGATCTGGTTTAATCAAATGCTAAAAAAATTCCTTTACAAGCAGTCTCTGCTGTCTTTGAGACAAAGCTCCGTTAACGGTTCATTGGACCTTTAAAGTCGTGGCCAAGCGAGGCCATGCGTATACGCTGAACTTTCCGAGAAGGATGCGCACACACCTGGTGTTTTATGTGGGCTTGCTTAAACCGTACCAGGATCCGGCGCATTTGAACACGGAAGCGGCGCCCAAAGGCGCTCGGCCACCGAAACGTTGACACTGCAACTGGATCTGGGCATGGAGTGCAACAATTTCCCATATTAGCGGTGCAAGGCGAATCAGCGTCGCGCTAAGTTACGTATTCGACTGCTCGACGGATAGGAGCCGATCCGACAGAGCACGATAATCCTTAACGTGAGGCAGTCGGTGCACAAACTCCCCCGAGGCTCTCGAGGTCTTCCGCACAGCGGTGTGCGACCTCGGCAAGAGTGCCGACGACGACGGACTTTGTCCTCCAACGCTCCAAGAGCATCGCGAGTCAACGGCGGCGATCAACCAAGTGCTATTGCCCGCCGCCGACTCTTCTCGACGAGAATGGTGGCGTCCACTACCACGTGGATCGCCTTATGGGTCGACGTCGTCGACGTGGTCAAGCCCAAAATCTTGTGATGTGGTGGGAACACCCCGACTCCGAGATCTCATGGGATTTTGAGATGCGACCCCAGCAAAACTACCCGGACGTCGTGGACGCTTATGATAGGAAGGATCATGACGCTTCGCATCGTCATGCTCCCGCGCCTCAAGGTAGTAGCCCGGGAAGCCGGGGGGCACGAGCTGAGCTCAAACTATGGCCCGGAGCTGCTGTAGTTGTAGACGCATCTGTGTGAGAAGCCACAGAGATCGCGGGAGCGTGATGGATGATTCCATGTTTTCAGGGCAATAATACGCAGGAATTCGGCGTTGCGTCTTGAGTTTGGCAAATTCTAATCGAAGATAGCACTTAACGCGCACGTCAACTTCCTTGTGGCCTCGTTATAAGTTAGACAGCAAGAAAAGAAAAGTTTCCGGTCCATCGCTGAAAGAGCTTTTCATCATCTGCAGCGGTTTCGCCAGAAATGAGCATCACAGAAATCCTTCGTATAGTGGGTACAGGAGCGCTGCCTCTTTGAGCGCAAAGTCAGCGCAGTACCTATCCATTGGGATTCATGATGTACCCAAGCGAGCTCAGAGAGCTTTACGTTGGTCAAGCTCGGCTTCTGTAGTGGCCGGGGGCCGACACCTCACGATTAAAGGATCGCGTCTTTCGCTTCGGTAGCGGGACCCGCCGAGCAGAAGCCGTATTCCACACGAGGGTCTTAAACCGACCGTGG